GTTTATATATATATATTAATTACTAAAGAGTTTTTATCCTTCGTTGCAACGCTAAAGTGTGGGGTTTGATTACCCAACGGTCGACACAGCGGATAGTTTAATGTGATTTTGCTTTAAAACAATCTTCATGTAATGGACCTCCGGCGGCTCAGCAGTAAATCTTAGGGCTTATAACATTAAAAATCTGGTTTCGATACCAGCGGTGGGTAGAACACAGATAGTATATTGTGTGGCGTTATGCTTAGCGATAAACAAACCGACCTTGAAACATGAATAAAATTTTTCTTTTCTCTTTTGGCCTGGCACAGCTTGTGATTGGAGCGCTGGACTCGCAATCTGAGGGTCACCAAACATGCTCGCCTTTTCAACTGTGGAGACGTTGTATTGTGATGTTCACTATAATTTTTTCCTTGGTAAGGAGTAGCCTAAGAGTTGGCGGTGGGCTGTGTTGACTAGCTGCCTTTCCTCTAGTCTATTGCTTTTAAATTTGGAACGGCTATCAAACAAAACCCTCGAGTAGCTTGCACGAAATTCAACAAACAAACAAACTACATGAAATTAATAAATAATTACACATGAAACAAGTCAATAAATAAATTAATTAATTAATGAAACAAACACACATACATAAAAAAAAACATTTTGCTGTGTATAAGAAATAACCACTTTCAGTCTGCGAACGGTATAAGTTTTTATTATACCATTTATTTACACCAATTACATCGAAACATCTTGAATAGCAGGAAGATCCGAAGCCTGAATTTTGAGAAACATGTATCTTGAGCTTTTCTCTATGTATATATATATTTATCCCTTAGCTGCTGTCCCAGTGACTTTTTTTTTTTACTTCAGTTAAAATTGGGGTCGATTTTGGTGAATAATATCTGTTCTATATTCAAATCCACATACCACATACAACGTTACGTTATAACAAAACCTAAATCCTACTGTTATGTTACACACGCTTTAACTTGTTCAATCAGCCTTATTTCTAACACTATTTTCCGTTTGAAATACAAAATCTGACGCCAGATGTCTTTCATGGAGCTCACGCGAAGAGCAGTGTTCTCAAAAATCGATTGGCAATTAACCTTTAAGTTAATGAACTCAATCGTCACATTTCTTTTTTTTTTTACAGCACCCATAACTATGTTTACTTTTTGGTGGCACTAATATTCTTCTCTGCGTGTGACCGTTGGCTTTTTCATTTATCTGAAACATGACCAAAAATTAAGTTTATAATGAGAATACAAAAATATTTTCACACGCGAAAGCTTTGATTATTATTCTGTTAGAAAATGGGCATTTTCCTTTTGTTCTACAAGCGATATCAAAGTAAGTTTATTAAATTTAGAAATTATTAAATTGAAGAGCGCCATTAGCTCTTAATTCCAATTACCAATGAAAATTTGCAGGCATAATTTTACATTATCCATTATTAATGAGAATTACAGATTTGGAATTTTTAAAAAACGTTATAGGTAAAACAAATATATATTCTTCTTATTTTCCCTCTTGCTACCTGAATGAATTAAATGACACCTTTTATCACGGACCATGCGTTGAAGTGATCATTATAATCTGTTTTTTTTTTTTTAATTAAGTATAAAGCTACAAAATGTACAGTGCTGTGCCCACCGTCGGTACTAAATCTAATTTTTGGTGTTGTAAGCACCTATTGGAGTGTTTTAAATTCTCATTGACGCCGAGACTCTCGACTCCCTAAACCTATTGATTTTTACTAATACGAAAAATCCCAGTTTCTCAGTATAGCATTGTAATAGAAATTGTTCACTCACGGAAGCTGTAAGTTTTGTGTTATTCATAATCTTGGATCCTCTGTTATTCTCTTGATTTGTTATTTCTCCTAATGGGACCCTAACTTTGATATTTGGTCTATTTAACCTTGTAAAATTAAGGTTCAAGTATAGCTATTCTAAGTTTAGAACTTCTGAACACTGACCAGTGGGAGAGCAACCAGTAAGCGGGATTGACTAACACATTTATTTAGCCATCACATCTGAAAGTGAGAAGCATGTTCTGTAGCATATCCCTGTTCGAACATTAGACCTTATGTTCCAGACCTTGGTACGCTGAACGCTAGACCACTTACGGCCTGACTCTCTAGTACACTCTTCTTTCGCGAATGTACTATAGCATTCTAGAATAAAGCTAACATTATTCTTGTATTCCAGAAAAGTCCCACTTTTATCAAGGAATAGGTCAGTAATGGCGTCTACAGGTCAGACTTCTAAAATAACACAAAAACATACTTTAAATCAACAACTTAAAAGTGAAGAAGAATGTATAACAATATGTCAACCACACTATATCCGCTACATCCAATATTATAGAATAACACACTATATTTTAATACATTTTACAAGATATGTTTATAGAATAACAATGTGATATTTTGGTATAAAACAACAACGTTTATTTTGTGTTTGTGTGCAGTGTCTTGTGTAAAGCTGAATAAGAATCATTTTATCTAGATAATCAGTGTCTCCCGAAAACGCTTTTAAACCAGCATAAATACCCATAGTCAGCTATTATTTTGTTAAGTAGCTTGCCTAGGTAACTTGCAATCCGTATTTATTCTACTTGTAGAATTGTTTTCATATATTATTTAGAGAATCTTAATATTAATTAGAAAAAAACAGATTTGACGAGAATATATGTTATTCGCCGTTTAGTTTCGTTTGATAGCCTAGGTCAAGTGTTTCAAACTTTCTCAGTACAAGACCACAGAACATCCAGTATCCTGGCTGAGACCCACCCCCAAACAGCTTAACAGCACTGTGTATTTTGTGTATTTGCAACGGGCCCCAGTTTGTAAACCCCTGGCCTTCCTTTATGATAAACCATATAGCTTGGAGTGTTCAGTTAAATTTAGTATGATTAAGATTGAAAGCAATAAGATCTTTAGTGGTAAGTAAAGCATTTTTCGCGTTCTACTTTATCAGTATGGAAAGGTTTGACAGATAACACTTTCAAGTAAAGTCTGGATGATTCTAATATTTGCTGAGTCATTCTGTATTCTGACTACATTTTTCGAAGCCTTGATACGGTCCTTAAACTTACCTGATTCTAATTACAGACACACACCTTACGGGATATAATTTATCAATACATTCTCAGAGAAAGTAATATTATATTGTTCATTGAATGATATTATAATTGCCAATTTTTCCTGATAAACACACACACTAATATTTCGCTCAAATTTGGTTTCATTTTACTAGTTTTGAAAAGAAACAAAAACACATATTACGAACTACATTTTAATAATTGAACCACTGTTTTCAGAAATAATTGTTATGTTGAATGGTATTACTTAGTTCAACATTTTGTCAAATAAAATAATATTGTTGAAAAATGTAAGGAACCATTATATATTTAGATGGTTAAACAAAAAACAGGCTATCCTCCGCCTTCTAAAATCTAGTTCATGTAATATAAGTTATAATTCACTTGAGAGGAATTTTTTCACGTGCTCGTTTTTTGTTTTTTTTGGGGGGGGGGATTAATGCAAGGATTGTTATTGTTTACAATTTCCGATTAAAACAACATAACAGTTACATGCGCAGTATTCCATAATTTAGAACTGTTGGACTAATCTTGTAAAAATGGTATTCTACGGACACTCTGATGATGCAATGCCCCCTGGTCGCTCAGCGATAAGTATAAGGGCTTATAAGATTAAAAATCGTGTTTCAATACCTGCAGTGGTCAGAGAACAACAGCCCATTTTGTAGTTTTGCGCTTAACAACAAACAAACAAATTAATAATTAATCCATGGCCTAAAGTGCTGAGCGGATTTTTTCGACAAGTAGACTAGAACCATCAGCCTTTGGATTCACAGTTTGGGCACGCTAACCGTTAGGCCATGTTCATTCCATAATGCAATGAACTAAGAACAATTTCAGCGGTTTCATTTCCTCATGGGTCTCGCTTTGTTTTCAACATAATTACATAAACGTGCTTTTAATGAAATTTCATTAATATCTATTTTTTTTTTTGTTTCAGAAGATAAATTACTAACACAGAATAGTGAAGAAGTATATTATTCCCATTCTGTAAAATCTAATAAAATACACATCTTTTCCAGTTACAAGCTTTTACTTGTTAACCTGAAAAACAAGAAAAACTGAAACATTTTTTGTTCTGACTTTTGATTTACCAATCCTCTTCAAGGAGGACATATACTATTATGTTTTACCTATAATATCATAAATTGTAAGGTTAACGAATTTTGATATAAGAAAATAGCTCAATGCTTTTGCTTCCTGCAAAGCTTATTGTGTACATAAAACAGAAAGTTCGTTTTTTTTGTTCTTTACAAGATATAAACATTTATTCATATCAAACATTAATTTGTTTACACAAAACAAGTTGTATACATAAATATATATAGGTACATTTTATAAACATGTTAGGAATAAAATTGTATCTGTTATTAATGCACATTATCTATAGTTCAATATATTCATAGTTTAACTGCCTGATACTGTAAATAATATATAAATTTGTAGTATTTACTCTCATACTTAACCATAAGAACCTGAGGTTACAAAAGAGAATTTCACATACTTTTTGATGATAAAAAGGAATACGTGGTTTTATTATCAAGAATAATATACTCCAAACTTTATCTTTCATCATTTCATTTTTAACTCACTTCCATCAAAACACATTAGTTGCAAAATTGGAATTGTGGCCCTTAGTCTCACAGGATAAGGTTTGTATAAAAATGACAATATGAAATAAAAACTCTCAAAAGAATATTTTGTAGATTTCTTTTACTGTATTCCTACAGCAAATAAGCCTAAAGTAAATATACTATGTACATAAAATATTTTCTTCACCATTCAAAAGCTACATCAATAAACTAAAATTTAACATGCTTTCTTTACTAGGCAAAACTCTGATGTGATCACAATTTTGCATAAATCACATGTTATTTTTTTATTATAAAGTTTTTCTTTACTTATGTTTTCAGGGAGATAATTGTTTATGTATGCCAATTCTTATTTTATGTGAAGCAAGGTAAATTAACAGCACATAAATGTTTATTTAGTATTCTACAGAACCAGTATTTCATTACTTCAAATCTCAGCAAATTTCATAGCTTAATCCAATACAATGCAAAATAAGGATAGATAGTTAAAAACATAAAACATATAAAAGCAAAATCATTGAATATATCACAAAAATATCATCATTAAAACAATGTTCTTAATGTCAATGTTTAAATGAAAAATTTTCAATGCACTCAGGCTAAATAGTTACTCCAAACATTTCAAACATATTCCATTTATAGGGATTTAAAAATAATCTATCTATAACAATTACTGATTTTTCATCATTACTACTCTTCACTTTTTAAGTAGGAAAGTTTCATGTGAAGATAGTAATTTTAAACATTTTATGGATTTTTCACAGTGAAATCACAAGAAGAAAACTTGACCAAGTCATCACACATTGTCACCAAATGAAAAATGCCTTTGATTTCATCCTTTCACAACACTTGTGCTTAGGTGTCCTCTACATAATACACATGTATAAAATTATGAAATTTTAATATTCTAATTACCTATTTTTATGCATTTCACTAATCTCTGTTATTTATGTTCGGATAATTTGATATTAAAAATATTTTGAAGAAAAACCATACATTACTGACTAAACATATCTGAGGTTAAAACATCATTTTTGCCTTCCTGCAATCACACTTACTCATAAATATACTTACATAATATAAAAAGTATACATTAAATGTCAAAATACAGAAAATCAGTACAAATTATTTCAAGAATTGTTTAAAATAAAGACTAGATAAGGTAATAATCCTTTAGAATAGCCTTCTTTGAATAAATTATCTTAATACTACAAACTGATACTTAAGTCCATAACTTCTGTACATTTCATTAGATGTGTATGTCTGTACGCACGTATATAGGTTTTGATTAATTCACGCACCCTTGAATTCATAAGGTATACAATTCACCTCTAACCTTACCCCCTCTCTTCCTTTGTGCATATATACCTCATAGCATACTTCTTGACCAATGCAGGGGTAAATGTAAAATGGTATACTAATTTGGTTTTGGTACAACAATTATTTCTCTTTCTTACAAGAAAATTTAACTGTTCTTTCCACTTCTGTACCATGTGTAATAACATGAATAAAAATCATCACATCAACTCTTCATAAAGCTTTAAAGTCATTCTAATTATAAAAAGTAACATAAATACCATCAAATGCAGCTTTTTGTTATTTGTGTTGCCTTTCTGGTTTACTTAGAAACATCTATACCTATCAAACTCTTCACAAGGCTCTTTTATGATTTTCTTAGCTTTCTATCTTAAAACTATTTTTTACCTGTTCATAATCACTTACAGCCTGCTTAAAAAAAATCACATATTACAGCTACACCTGTGTTATTAGTTCTTATCCTATTGTTTCATTTCACAGATATTTAAGCTTAAATTTAATCATTCTAGATACATTTTGAATAAAGTACTCTCAATGTTTGATGATGCTAATATCAACTATCCAAACAGCTGAAAACTAATACAAATACTCCCAACTACATGAGCAAGAAATTAATAGTTCCCAATTTTTATTTCTTTATTAATTTTTTAGAGAATTGAAAAACTAAGTTTTTCCTCAATATTTTTCTTCAAGATACCAAACATAAGAAACTCAAAACTTCCAAAGTCAGAAAACCAATTTAATCATTGAACAGCATCATGTCATACAACACTGATGCAAAAAAATTGGTCCTGAATAAAGGCCATTCTTTTGTTCACAAGACTGAATATATTAATAGTTTTCAGGTATACAAAGATACCAAAAAATACTTCATACAACTCAGAATAACCTTCTCCTCCCCATGATAAATCAGCAGATTCTAACAATAAGACTAATTTAATGAAATCAAACTCCTTCCTTTAAGGTAGATACCTTATAAAGGTCAGTTTAAAGTTCAATTCTTTTTATTAGCTGAAACAGTTAAGAGATCAATCATATAAACCTCAGATCTTGTACAAAGATTCATAATCTCTCCATTGCCAAACATAATCATCACAAAACAATACATACATACACAACAGAGAAGACAGTGTAACCAAGCTTACTGACAAAGAAGGCTCAGTCAATGGAAGTAATCTGACAAAGTCGTTGACCACATAATATTTTTTCTCTTACACTGATTTTAACCATTTCTTTGTATGTTTTACCTAATCAAAATACAATGTTAAAGTTCTGTAAAACACAAATTCTTACTTTTTTGCTTCTGTTTATAATTTAACAACTGTTAATTGTTTATTCAACAGATATGACTTACTGGGAGTAAAAGTGAATTGTACATTCATGATTGATCAAATATGGTTTAATTAGTGAATTATAAAATAGGGCTATTAGTTACAGTTCAGGAGTGTAGCCAGTCAGGGTTGAAAATGTAAATGACCATTACTTACAACTCAGCAGCTTGTGAGGTAAGCTAAGCTTCTCTTTGTTCTTTTAATTTTTGAATACTTTCACTTTACATGTCTCATTTAGGTTAAGATAAATCACTTAAGTTCTTTGTGTGGAAGAAATTGTCCAAATTTTTTTTGGAAAAAGACATCACCCCACTCAGAAGTGTTGGCTACTTCTCTGTAGGTTAACACTCAATGTGATTATAAAAGGTCAAGCTTTAATGGTTTGGATGACAGATTTAGCTTATAGGTTGGTATATCAAGCTGTTTTATTTAACTGTGTGAAGAAAGGATATTTAATTCAGAAATGTTTATTCAATAAAAAAAATAATAGTATACTCTAAACATTTCAGCTATTTACTGAGACAAGTAATTATATACCATGTAGTAATTGCATTAGTTTTAAATTTTAATACATGCATTGATAAAGTTAAGCCACAGCTCATTAAGCAAACCCCAAGAGTATGATGTGTTAGCTAAAAAATAATTCAAAAGTTCCATGTTTTTTAAGTTCATTTAATAAAGATGTAAGTATAACGAGCTAATGTAACTAGAAGAAAATTGTGATGCAAAGAACAGTCATATGACTCTTTAGAAGAGGACTAGCATAATGTACTGGTAGGAGCTTCAGGGGGTCTTCACTGAAAAATGCATTTTTGAATATGGTCATAAAGAATTGTGCATACTTTTTCTTTTTTAAAACTTTCAGAATCACTTTCCTCTAACCATTCCCATAAAAACTTGTTTTTGTCTTTAAGCACTGATTCTGAACATTTAACAACAGACCTATTAACTTAAAATAGACCAATGACTGAGATTGGTTCATACATTTGCTCAAAACAGAAAACTAAAAAGAAACTGTTGCGTACTGTTTTGATTATCAAAAATATGTGTATACATTTTAAAGTAACACTTGTTACTATACCTTTTTCCAATAGTTGCATATGGTTATAGACCATTTTATAATTGGAATCTACATTTGTTCCCTTCTTAATGTAGCCTGAAGAGCAACATTTAAGTCATAAAACCAGCTCTACTACAAGGATAGACTTAAATTTTTTTAAAAGAACACTGAAGGTTTGTTCTGTTTCACTTAAGCATTTCCAATCTTCATAACTTAGACAGTATGAGTAAAAATTGTTCTGGAGTTTGTCATATCTTCTATCTACAGAATTTGTACTTCTAACAAGCAATGTAGTGGACCAAATACTGAATCTCATTTAATCAGTTTTTAATGTGCTATTGTCACATGGCAATAATAATATCAAAGTTTGTTAAAATCCAGCACTTGTAAATTAAACTCACTTGTAGGTTAAAATTTATTACATAATACAATATTTTTTTTATACAGTTATACTTCAAATTTACAAACAATTTAAAAATACAAAAGAAGTTACCACATTCAAATAAAATTTGACTAATCTCAGGCATTATAATATTGCATGCATAGATTATAATATTCGGATAATAACCTCATGAAAAAACATAAATCTAAATCATTATCTGACAAATGTCTCTGTGTGTGAGTGACTCTGCTTATTAATATTGAATTGCTGGTCCAACTGACACTAAACAAGGCATGTACCCTTAAAACCCCCCATGGAGTGACACAGGATCTGACCCCCTATGTTATTTCTTGCTTTGAATACATACATCAGCTAGTTTAGTAAAAAATATGGCTTGCTGTATTTTGTAACCTGACAATCTTTTTAATTTCACGTCTAATTACCAAGATGAATATTATGTTTTCAAAAGATGAAAGAGAAAAATATTCATAGCATTCTATGTTAATTTTTCCCCTCTTTAAATGTAACTTTGGAAGCTGAATCACCAAACATTTTATGCATCATCACAACTTGCTGTTTACAAAAATACTATTAAAAAACATAAAAACTTCAAAGGATTCAATAAAAATATGTATGTAAAATTGTTATTTGACAATGAATCAGTCACTGAATAGATATTTAAAAAAATAAGTATAATATGAATGAATGGTTTAGCTTTTTTTCTCTCTAAGTCCTGCTTCCTCAGAACGCAGAGCTGCTGCTTGGACAGCTTCAATCAGTGCGGTTCTCAGCCCATGTCGCTCAAGTTGTTGAACAGCATGTATGGAGGAACCAGCAGGTGAACACACATCATCTTTTAATGCACCAGGATGGCGTCCTGTTTCCAGCACCATCTTACCTGCACCCTGTGAATATAGCATCAAAAATTACCTGTTATTGAACAATATGTTTGTCTGTGTTTGTGGGAAGAATAATGTTTATTTTTACTAGCTGTTAATGAACAGAATATGGTTCATAAATTAATGTATACAGACATTTTAATAATATATATAAAAAATTAATACTCAAACAGTCAAGTGAAATAAAAACAAAAGGAAAGACTTCATTAAAAACAGCAAATCCAAACCTGTGATAAATGACATGTGAATGAACAAAAACAAGTCCTAACAAAAAAAAACAATATTAAATTAAAGATGCTGCATAAATTAAAAGGATCTCCAGGGTACAGGCTATAATGTAGGATATAAAATGTGTCCTGTGTTTTGGAGGTGACTGCAGAAGTAGGACATCACTTATCAGTCTTAACCTCCATTCGCTAGTCTCACATGAAGAAATTCATAAAAATCAAATCAAATCAAAAGAAATACAAGTTAGGAGAACGAGATGTAGGTGCTCAAGCTCACAACGTTCCACATCTATATCATCCTTCACTGCCTGCAGACAGTTATATATGAAACATTTTTACCTAGATGTCCTTAATAGGCATTATTATATGTTTATACAAAACAAATGAAAAGAAGTTTGTTAGCTCTACCATGTACACATTTTTTTTTCAAATACGAGGGTAATTATTGTTAAAAGTCTTTTAAAAAGATTACAAAATTAATTTCACACCAGTAACAAACACTTGGTTGCTTTTAAAGTAATTTTGTGTTAGGCCATAATACTTTATCAAGTTATGAACTTCTGACAGCATCTTATAAGAAATTGTTTATCAAAAAGAATAATAAAAGAACTTGTTAAAAAAAATAAAAGGTTTTTAAAAATTATTTACAGTTATATACACTAGATCAAATGTAAGAACAGCTATTGTAAGAAGGTGCAGAGTATGCCAAAATAAATTAATCAGCAAAGAGAGAAAAATAAGGACAATAAGGAGTTCCGCAGAAAGAGCATTTGAGAGAAAGCTCAATTACAAAAAATGTGATGAACAAAAATATAAAGAAAGACAATGCATATTTGCAAATGTTAACAGCTTTTACATATAAATGATATTTTTATTTATAATAGGATTATTAAAAGTTGCATGTAAATGGATTTTTAAATAACAACTACCTTATTGTTGTCAAATTTATATATTTTTTCAATTCTTACACACCACTCTCTGTAATATATATAAAAACCACTGTAGTTTATCAATATGAGAAGCCCCCCCAAGTGGCACAGCGGTATGTCTGCGGACTTACAATGCCTCAGTGTCAAATTAAGCATTAATAATTTCCTTAATCTGTTGACCACTGTTTAGTGTTTATTATTTGTTAATGACAAACTTCTATTGAATCTTGTGGTAAAATGTTTTAAGCAGCTTTTACTGTCAATCAAGCTTTAATAAGGCAATGTCTGTTACTATCTGTTTGGAGCCCTTTTACTTGTTGTAAATATTTTACTAGCAATTTACAGATGTCTAATGACTGGTGGGATATTTAGAAAAACATTTTATATGAAAGGAGTAATATCTTGGAGTGGTGTATCACTTTTGTTATTTGTTCTCAATTTGATTTGTGTAGTAGTTGTCAACATTTACAAGTATGCATCACCTTTGCCTATTTTTGTTCATAACATTTGTTACTGAAACTTCTCTTCCCTCAACATGCTCTTTCCAAAACAAGAAGATCCAAAATTAAACCTCAGTCCCTGAACATATCAGAAGGTCACCAGCTGAAACAGAGGACACCAACTAATTTGAAATTAGTAATAAAAAAAAAAAGAGCTACCTAATAATTATTCTTAGGTAATCATAAAGTTTGCCAAAAACAACAATGATTTATATGTGGTCCTCACAATTTTATCATAAATAATTAATGCTTTTCACTAGCCAGGACACATGAATCTTCAATGAAATTCACATCAGACTGCTGATGTTTTTAAACAAAATATTCTAGCAGAGTAATTTCAACCTTTCAGCCAGGAATATGTGTAACCTATGTTTTAATAGACTGTCTTTCTTTATAAGTATCTCAAAAATCAACCTCAAAACCAAATTGATCAGTTCTGTTGACAGATGACAGCCTAGAAATGTATTTAAACAATATATGTTAAATGTCTTAAACCTAAAATGAACATTTAGTATACATGTACAGTAACCTGGTAAAGCAAGCAGATCACATATTTAAACACACCATCAGTCTAATAGTGATGTAAGAGTAGAATGAACTTACCAGTAGCGTCTGTGCAGCTAAACGAATGGCTAAATCTCGAGGAAGTCCCATCTTAACACCACCATCTGCAAGTGCATCTATTGCAATATACATCTGTAAAGATTTTTTTTCTATTAACCTCTAGGATCTCAATTATACAAATAATAATTTTTTGACAAAATTCATAACTAAACAAAAGAGCATTCTTTTAATTTACAATAATTACCAAAAAAAGGACATTAATTTTGGAAAATTTTGAAAACAAAACAATATTAACACAGGATCTTTATTTTAACTAGATGCAGGGACTAGATATAAAAATCTGGGATTTATCTGATTTTGGTGAAACATGCCCCATTGACTATGACTGGAACTTTGCTACTCTTCAGCATGTCATCATCAATCACCATTATTCTCTCAACTAGCTGGAGTACAAAGGATAAGGAATTGTGTTTCAATTTTTTTTCTTCTTAACATGATAAACATTAAAAGTGCAATAAAATACATAAATGTACCAATATTGAAAAGAAAGGCATACTGTTTTTCTAAGAATTACTATAATACTAACCCCCCCCCCCCACCCCTGGCCGTTCCTTACTGTCATCCTGTATCACTGTGTCAAGTTTGGTGCTGATTGATCAACAAATGTGGTAATAGTATAAGGAACAGATACACACACACACACACACACACACACACATATTGACATTTATCTATATAGACTACTCAAAAATAGGATGATGCTGACAATGATAAAAGGTCAAGAACAATGTCTCCAGCCTCAAAAACACAATGAGTAAAGGTCAAGTAATCGTATTTGAGAATAAAAAAAAAGAGGTAGTCAATTCATGTGTGTGACTATGACTGAAATAAATTACCATCTGATTGCATATTTGGATATAACAGATTTTGGACTTCCTAACAATTATGCAACACCTCCAAGACACAATTAACTTTCTTGTTACCTTAACACTTTCTCCTGAATACTATTTTATAATGTTTCTGGTGGCTTAAAAGAAATATATTACTTAGTGATTCACATCTACCCAATTCAGAGAGCTAAATATTTATACTTGAGATTTTTACTTCTATATAGTAATTTTTAGTAGATTTTATGACAAACTATTCTGATAAAATTATGGAAAATTTACTTGAACTGAAGAAATGCAACATTTAACAGAACAAATAAACAAAAATTCATTGTTTAAAAAAACAATAACAAGAAAATATTTTTTCTCTCTCAGCAACATTTGATAATTTCAAGCATTTCATTCAAATATCAGAATTTGTTAACTAGAAATTGTTAACTTCACCATAAATTTTTATCCACAGTGCACAGAAAAAATTATCAACTTATTTACTTCACTGTTTGTGCACAGTCTTAGGTTAATTATGTGTGTACATTTCTTTACAAGCAACAAAACAATTTTCCCATTTGGCAAGGAAAAAAAATTAATGTTATATTATAATGAAGGAAGAACAAATTAAATGACAACTCTAACAATAACCTCAAAACACTTTGTGGATATGTAGCGCCATCTCTAGTTAGGTTTTTAAATCATATTAAAATACCTTGAGTATAAAATAATATTCCTAAATCTTTTAATAAAAAACTAAAATAAATATAAGAGCACTACTAGATGTTACTAAAATATGTTAAAACAATACCCTCCCTCCCCCCCCCCAAAAAAAAACAACATTAAGAGTGGGCGTTCGAAAATTGCCTGGCTACTCAAGTGGGTCGTGAGTTCGGAAAGTTTAGGAACCCTTGATCAAGAGGAAGGGATTTTGTGATTTGCTATATTAAATACGTTATTCCAAATATAAGTAACACACTGAGCATACAAATATATTCTTACCATAATTCATGTAGGGTAATATCTCTATGTCTTTTATATCCTCCTTATTATTGTTAATATGCAATCAGTACCATATAGATGAGGGATTGTTATCGGTTACAATATTATTGGGATTAACAATGAAAAAGTTTAGTTGCAACAAACATACTCTACAAGTTACATAGATATCATCCAAATTTAGAAAAACATGAATACATATATGTTGTATGCTAGCTTACCCCCAAATTTGTATAAATACAGCCTTTATTTACGTATGATGGTGGCCTACACATACATTTAAGTTCATCCATTATGATACAAAAAAGACAACTGAACTTACATAGGCTGGGCCACTGCCACTCAAACCCGTGACAGCATCAATCAGTGTCTCAGGAACCTCTTCACAAATCCCAACACTTGTTAACATCTTCTTCACTAGGTCTGAATCTCCCTCTTTGATAGTAGAACCACATGAAAACACTGAAGCTCCATGCTTAACCAATGCTGGAGTATTTGGCATAACACGTACAACTCGTGTTTTTCTTGGTAACATCTAAACAAAAATTGAAAGTAGTACTGTTCAACTGAAATATCGTAACCAACAAACTGACAAAAATGGAGGGAACAGCAGGTAGAATTGATTAAGATGGGCATTTCTTATGAAGAAAGAGGAAGATAAAATTATGGAGACTTATTTTCACATAGGTTACTGAACATAATGTTAGTTTCTCTCAGTTATCGAATTTAAGATCTATAGCATCAACCTTACATTAACTATTGAATAATCAGGAGACTTTATATGTATATATGCTTAACTAACAGCACTAAAAGAACGTGATAAAAACGACTACTGAACACTGAACGATTGATTGTAAGCTATCAAGTAAAATTAAACAAAAGACAGAATAAATGAGTCAATTCCTAAAATGACACTAGATGGTGCCAGCAAAACAGTACGTTCATTATTTCAAGGTTATTAAGTAAACGGGAATATTGTAATAAAAAATGAATGGCTAAAGATAAGACTAGAAATGTATAAAAAACAGAACCCACTGTACATGCAAGCTGCAATACATATGTATTATGTACTTAGTTGACACTGGACACATTGCTGGTGAAGAAAGTAACATAATCTATACCATGAATAAAAGTAAAAACGTGCAGAGAAAACGAAAGATAATGTGTATGTGTGTTTATTTCTCTCTCTCAATATATATATATATATATATCAGTTCAAGAATACTATCTATTTGAAATTAAATGTTATTAAAGCAAATAAGTTACAAAGATTTTGAAGAACATTAATAATTTCTAACGTTATAGATAATATAGAAAGTTTAAACCAAATTACCTGATTTTAAGAGTTCACACTGTTAAATAGTTAGCAGACTTGATAAATGGTTTAAGTTGTTTGAAATATAAGTTATAAAGCTTGAAACAGAAATAAAAACAGTGTATTCGCTCGTTTAATATCCTTTACCTAATGTTCAAATTGGGTTGGAAAAGGTGTCACTATGTATATACATTTGAGGGCATTAGATATATAGAACTTTCAATTTAAGTATGGGGGCGAGGGTTAAATTTAGTAATTTTTAGAAAGATAGTTTACTGCAGGCTTGTTTGTTTGTTATGAATTTCGCGCAAAGCTACACGAGGGCTATCTGCGCTAGCCGTCCCTAATTTATCAGTGTAAGGGAAGGCAGCTAGTCATCACCACCCACCGCCAACTCTTGGGCTATTCTTTTACCAACGAATAGTGGAATTAGCCGTCACGTTATAACGCCTCCACGGCTGAAAGGGCGAGCATGTTTGGTGTGACGGGGATTCGAACCCGCGACCCTCAGATTGCGAGTCGAACGCCCTAACCACCTGGCCATGCTGGGCCCCGCAGGTTTGTTTACGAAGCATACGTTGTGTAGTTCAACTCTTGTGAATTAGACATTGTTCTATTATTGCGTCATGTTACTAGAGCCTTCTATCTTTTTCTCGTTGTTTCATTAAGTATCAATGCATCATTAATATCTCTTAATGTGTGGAAAGATCTAGGCCTCTGTCGGATTATATATAAATGCGCGTCCAAAATGTAGTTCAAGTAAGTAAGTTAGAGAAAGATATAGTCAAATAGATCTAGACTGTGTGCGAGTTTAGCTATAAAGATAGTATAGTGGCAATTTTTAAAGTGAAATTATCACAGATTGTATTGCAATAATGAAGTACAGAATAATTTGTCTTGTCAATTGGGTCCTAAAGTAACTGAACTAACCAGTGTGGACTTTGATGAAAAAGAGACAACTATTTAAAGTTCTGGATACAATTGTGGTAACTAACAGTAATAGTGGTGATATTAAAGTGAAAGTATCACAGTGTGTATTATAGTAACAGAGTAGGAAGAATAATTCGTCTTGTCAAAGTGTGTCCTAATATAACTGAATTAACCTGTGTGGACTTTGATGAAAAAGATACAATTATTTAAAGCTATGGATACAACTGTAATAGTCAACAATGTAACGAACATTTTGTATATACGTTTGCCTTGTTTTAATACAGTATTTTAAAACAAGTGGATTGTGTGCTTTTTTTTCATAAAATCTGTCACCAAGTCACAGACATAAAACCTAACGTTGGCAAGCAAGCCCGAATCTACAAGGATAAACAGTGGTAGAGCTGACATCAACAACAGCAGGCAAAGAAGGCCTATATATATACATAGCTGTAGTGGTGGCGAAAATACTGTGAATTACAGACACACTATATAACCATGTTGACTAACTTTGATGAGTGGATAGAGAGAGGTTAGCGACTTGGGCTTAAATATAGTGACTTACAAGTTTATTAAACATTAACAAGACCTAGAGTTCTAAAAGCAAGGGCAAAAAAGAGAGGGAGGAAGAATGAGAGAAGAAAGAGAGAAATAGAGAGAATAAAAACAAACTGCAAAAGAAAAGGAGAGAAAAGAAAGACTAGAAATAGAGAGACAAAAAGCAGAAATTGAGGAGGAAGAAGAGACTGGAAGTAGAGTGAATAAGAGCACAAATTTAGATTGTCAAGCTTATCCAACAGAAAGACAAAGAACCCAAGAATAACAATGGGGACAGGGCCAGCCTTGCCAGCACTATCTTTGTAGGTAGTTACAGCTATTTTATGTTGAAATTTCTATTGTGACTTCTTGGTGACAGGCTTTCACTCACTCGCTATGTTTCCCATTTTATAACTCCTTTGATGGCATGCTTCTGGTTAGCCACCCCTGGTTTCGACTTTAACTGGTTATTCTTGGACTTGCCAGTTATACTCCCTCTTTGGGCTTCCATATACTGTTTTGGCAGCTTGATCATCTCACCCACATCCTTTGGTGCTCTGTCTTTCAGGAAGAGTGACACGTCAGTGGAGCATATGATCATGAACTGTTCACGTATTAGTAGGTCTGTCAGTCCCTAAAAACAATTTTCACACTTGGCCATGTCAATCCACTGTAGATGTGCCACAAACTGGAATACAGTTTCAGATTTTACATATCGGAACTTACAGTGAAAACCTTCTTTGGTAAGTTCATAGTATTTCATCAAGGCCACTTTTAACTTGTCACAGTCCATGGCATCTTCTGACATCATGGCAGCATACACTTGTAGGCTTTTTCTTGTGAGAACAGGGCTGAGGCAGAGCCCAGTTGCCTTTGTCCCAGTTCTGACTTTCTTTTAATCTTTTGTACATCTCCAGGAAAGCATCCATTTCATCTTTCTGTTCACCCAATTCAGGCAGCTTGAGCTGAAAAGAGTGACAATCACCATGGATGCTGCTGCCAGAAGAAACAGAAATAAGACAACTTATAACCTTCATCACAAGAAGGAAGTGCTATCACTATGATTAAACAGTGCATGATTGATGTTCAGCTCAAGTTAGCAAACAGGTCAACAATGCCAGTGGTGATCAGAGCATGTGTCAAACATTGGGAGATGCCAACAAACCACAATATGTCTGTAGGTGAAAACTATGTTAGGGACAAGAAAGTGAAAGTCCTACGAGAAGGATGTGTATGAAGGCACTAATCTACAACTTGGTGATTAGCAATATACCAGGCAATAGAAGTTTGGAGAAACTAGACAGAAAGAAGACTGATGACGCATCTGCAGTCACTAAAAGAGCTCGAGTAAAGAAAAGTAAGCAATACATCAAGCCCCAGCAAGTCTCGAAGGGTGACATTCCGAATGTAGGTCTACAGGAACTGAAGAAAGTTCAGAAGAAAGACCCTTGACTGCACAAACTTTGGGACATTGTCCAAAAGAAACTCGAGAACAAGACAAAGGGGAAAGGGACTTACAGAATAGAGAAACAGAATGCAGTGCTGTACCAGATCTATCAAGGCAGTTCTACTGGGGAAGTTAAACAAACTATAGTACCAACAGAATACCAGACTCAAGTGATGAAGTAAGTTCATGAGTTGATTGTGGGAGGGCACCTAGGAGCAAAGAAAACCAAGACAGAATCACCAGCAACATTCATTGGCCAGGGGTAATCGGAGATGTGACCAGATTCTGCAGGTCATGTGACTTTTGCCAAAGTACAGTACCTTGAGAGAAGGTAGCCAAGGTGCCACTGGGTGAGATGCCTCTCATAGAAGAGCCATCCAGCATAGTAGCTGTGAACTTGGGTGGACCACTAGCACCTGTATCTGACAAAAGCAACCAGTACATGCTGACAGTAGTCGACTGTGTGACACATTACACAGAAGGCATAGCACTGCCAGAGATACAAAGGGAGAGAGTAACAGAAGCCTTTCTGGAAGTGTTTGGCAGAGTAGGCTTTCTAAAAGAAGTCATGGGTGACAGAGGAAACCAGTTTATCTCGGAACTGATGCAATAGGTGTGCAAACTCGTCAGCACTAGGCAGCTCTTTACCACCCTAGATGTAATGGACGTTGTGAGTGAGTCAATAAATATTAAAGAGCATTCTGAAGAAGATGTGCCAGGAGAGACCACATGACTGGATAGGTACCAGCAAGCAATATTAGTAGCATAACAAGAAGTCCCACAAGTGAGTTCAGGATTTTCACCCTTTGAGTTACTGCACAGAAGAACAGTACGAGGTCCAATGCAGATATTGAAAGAACTGTGGACAGGAGAAGATGAATCAGAAGTGAGGAACATATACCAGTATGTGCTAGACCTTAGTAACCAACTGGAGGAGACCCGTCAACTTGCTTAATAGTTTGTATGCAGCTAAAGGCAATCAGAAGCACTTCTATGACAAGAAGGCCAAGGATCAACATTTCAAGGTTGGACAATAGGTCTCGGTTCAACAACTCACAGACAACAACAAACTCCCCTTGCAGTGGAAAGGGCCTTTTGAAGTACAGGAAGTTGTCAACAGTATGGACTATAAGGTGAAAGTGGATGGGAGACCAAGATCTACCATGCTAATCTGTTGAAGAGGTACTTCAAGAGGGAAGAACAGTTAATCGGTGCATCTATTGAGACACAGATGGATATTGCAGGTGCAGTTGTCATAGAAGAAGAAGACCTATTAGACCTAAGACTACTGGGTGGATAAGAGACATAC